TAATACTTTACCACCCTTTTACACCACCCCCTATGTGCTTAGCATTTCTTTCTAACATTATTATTATGTCCCCCGTATACTATACATTTCAAAACAGCATTCGGCTATAAAACTATATAATAGATCCTAATTTGGCATTTATTCTGCTCACAATCTACCCATTTCCTCCACCCCCATACATATATCTCTTAATTCAAATCTTTTAAGTATATTAATATCTAAACATAACATCCCTTTTCCTAAACTAAGCAGTCAGTAACGTTACCTATCACCTTATACCATATCAATTTTATTTCACCTACTTTCCTACAGGTCTACCATACATAATATATTTAATATCTTTATTCTTCTGCCCATATCACTAAAAGATATTTCCATATATAAGTAAAACCCTCATATGACTTTAAATTTGTATTCCATATAGTATCTTCTGTAATGTCTTTCAACTAGATTGTTAATTCCATCGACCATGTTAGGGTAACATCAAGTCCTGCTTCCAACAGTATTTTCAGTATCTTCAATTACCATCTGCCCCCATCATTAATAAGTATTTCTGTATATATAAAAAAAACCCCGAGTGACTTTATACTTATATCCCATATGATATCTTCTGTGATGTCTTTTGTCTAGATTATTAATTCCGACAATCACGTTAGGGTAACAGCCAGATCATCTGCATGCCCCAATTCCATAGTTCTTTTGCCTTATAGCTCAACATATACGTAATCCATTTTTCAGAGAGTCCAAAATAGAAAGTTCCAATCCGCTCAATCACAGGCCATCTTCCACATCCTAAAAACACCAGCACTGCAGAGATCTGTTATTCTTCTCAAAATAGTATAAGTCTGTAATTTGCCTCAACTGTATTTTCATATATCAGCCTTCTATAAATCCCGCTTATTTTATTTAATCGTTTCTTAAATAACTGGCATTAGTCTGTTGGCTAAAAAAATAATAATTGTAGTTTAAAATTTTTTAGTTTTGTAGAACCTGTTTCTTCTTTTCTTAACTTGTTGTGGTTTAGGTCTCCACCCTGGTTGCCTTTCTAGGACTTGTATGTCAGCTGATTGAATTACATGCTGGTCTTTAACTTGATAAGACATCAAATCGAGATCCAAAGCCGCCTCTCTATTTATAGGTAATCCAGCTATAGCCTCTGAAGGAGAATCCAAAAGCGGCTCATCCAAAAAGCCCTCTATAACTTGTCGTTTTTCCATTACCTCCATCTCCATCTGCTTGGCCTGAGTTTCAATCTTTTGTTCATTTTGATTATCTTTATTCCCCTCCTGTATTCCTGACACTGATGACATACGTGGAGATGTTGGGCCCATTTTAAAAACCTTGTAGTAAAATTCTTCCGCTTTTTCAACAGTGTTTAATTGATATCTTTCTCCTTGATATCTCAATATTATACCAACTGGAGCATCCCACCTAAATGGGATGTTTTGTTTCTTTAGCTCAGTCACCAAAAATCCAAAGTCCTTTCTATCTTTTAACATCTTGGACGGCAGCTCTTTATATATCCAAATCTTCATTCCATTCATTTCTAGCGTGGAGTTGAAAGACTTTTGCACAATATCATTTCTTATTCCTTTATCAATAAAATAAATCACCACATCTCTAGGCAATTGTCTTTGATTTGCCACCCAAGAATTCACTCTGTAGGCCTTATCAATCTTACAGAATACTTCTTCAGAGCTGACCTTTAAAATCACAGCCAGAACTTCAGCAGACATCTTTCTCAAGTCCTCACTGTTGTTTTCCTGTATTCCTCTCATTCTGATCGCAAATTCCATGGATCTAAATTGCATATTGTAACTTCATTTTCAATCCTTTGCTTTATATTATCTGCATTGTAAGTCTTGTGATCAGCTTCCTTCATTTTAGACTCTACTTCTGAGCTATTTTCTTGAATCATTGTCAAATCATTTTCAATTCTTTGTATTTTATTATCCAGATTATGAATCTTGTGATCAGCTTCCTTCATTTTAGACTCTATTTCTAAATTGATATCTTTATCCATCTTTAGAATTATTTCTGAGAAACTTTTCAAAGCTGTTACAATATATCGCTTCAGGTTATCATACTTTTGTTGAACCAACTCTTTAATTTCCTGTCTAAATTTTTCAAGATTCTGGTTCATAATCTCATCATGTCTTGCCATCTCCTCCACAACAAATTCCTTTAAATCTTTCTGCATCTGCGAGCTCAAAAATTGCTCTTGTGATTTATAAATGGGGGAGCCCCCCCCCCCAGCTTGGTTGTCCGGCTTTGTCAGTTTTAACGCCATCCTGCCACACAAACAGACTCTTTTTAAAGCAAAAGTCTTCTCTCCACACAATATCAATATCAAGTCTCTAAGAAAGGAAGAAGCATAAAACAGATTTTTTTCCCTTCTCTTGTAGCCAGCGCTATTGCTAGATACTTTGTAACATATTAAGCCATTCAAACAGAAAGACTTTCGCTTTCAGCTTTCTTCTCAAGCCTCAGCCAGCCGCCATTTTAAACTTTTTTCCCCCTTTTCACTCTTTCTTCATTCTTAAAATCAATCATAGGGTTGTTACAAATACTTGCGATTTAGAGTCCCAAATCCGGATTTCATCCTGCTTATTCAATCAATCTGTTAGTTTTCGCTGATTAGGTTGGTCACATCGTCTAGCTCTGCAAAGCGCAGAGTTCTCCCGCAGCCCGGAGCAGCGGCGAGCTGGATAGGGAGCCTCATCCTGCTTCCTCCCCAAGAGTAAAAAAAAAAAAACTCTGGGGACTTTGCAGAGGGCTCTACCTGCTCTCGCCGGCTCACCTCACATTTCCTTAAGGAAACGGAGTTTTTCGAGCTGCCTCCCAGCTGTAGGGGCGGCTCTTTACGGGCGGTGGGGGTGGCGGTCCCAAAAGATCGTCTAGCGACGACGGAAGCCAAACCGGAAGCCCCCAACTGATGGCATCTTAATAGGCCTTTCTTTTTAAAAGTGAAATGTGCATTTTTAATCTAGCCATTCTTAGTCATTTAAAATTTCCAGTGCTACTAGAGAACTGAAACCACTGAAGAAATTTTACTTTAAAACTATGGTTTTAAAGAAGGGGGAGGCCAGAGGAGTGGGAAATGTGTGCTCCAGAACTTCAGTGATCCTGGTGCTTACTGCTAAATTACCAGGAAAGATTGATTCATATTATTTCATACCAGTTTAAGGATTTCTGTCAAAAATTGTTGAGATGCCAAAAAGAGATGCATTTTAAAACCTATTTTGTCACGAAGCTTCTTCAAAATTGACTTCAGAAAGAACAGTATTTCAGTTCTTGTTTTGTAGGAATGTCTTTCTTCAAATGAATGTTTTCCTTTTTGTATGCTTCTACAAGCTAAAAATTGATTTAAATGGAAGGCCTATTAAATTTCTTGTTTAAGTATTAGTATTTATAAGTATTAGTATGTAGTATTTGATTTTGGCTGCTGAGCAGCGAAGACACACTATAAAATCTGGACAGAGAAGAGGGAAAGAACATATCACAAAAAAATCTGCTGATACCTGCAGTGCCTGAAAATAGTCTGAAACATAATTCAAATATGTTTACATATAACAAATATGTTTACATACATACGTATAACTTCCTTGATAGAGTCCAGATGGAGAGTAAGCTTGAGCTCTTTAGTGAAAATTCTCTGAGTCCAGTTTAGTAATAATTGACAGCAGTAGTTGCAACAGTAGGATTTCTATAATGTAAAATCTGTGTCAGGTTCCTTCCCCACTACATTCCCAGAGTTATAACTTTACCAAAGCAATTCCAGTCACTTCTATTATTATCTGGCAGGTCCGAAAGAAAGTATGTCTTCTATATTATTTCATGATGTTGACTCCTTCCTACCTTTATTTAGTGTCGGGGCCTTCCAGTCAATGTTGACTTCCTAGATGAGTTCCTAAAGTTTCCTCAGCAATATTTCAGAAGTAGTTTGCCATTGTTTTCTTCTTAGGGCTGAGAATGAGTGATGGGCCCAAAATCACACAATAGACTTTGTAACTAAGATGGGACTAGAACTCATAGTTTCTACTTTGGTGCCTTCCATAAAATAAAAAAAGGATGTATGCATTTAGCTGTGACTTAAGTCAATAGAAACCTGCAACCCTGCGTTGAAATAATTATTCATCTCATATTCTTTGCTTATGCAGAATAAAGGTTAATGTATTTTAATAATCATAATTTTATAAGATTGGGTTTATAATCTTATAAATTATTTGATCTCTTGTCAAATATTACTACATTAGTATTAATAAATATTAGTATAAATGATACTAAATAAATATTAGTATAGATCAGGGTGGTCTTTATTGTGAGCTTTTTTTAGACCACTTACACAATATTGATATATCATTTTCGTGCATTTTTTCATTTCTTCCAGAAGGTACAGATACATGCCCATCAAGAACATGCATCCCAGAAATAAACATATGATCTTGCAGGAAATAGATTTCTTTGACATATTGAACAGTTTTATTCTTTACTGAATTTGAAATGAGTTATGCCTTGAAGCTGAAGTATTTATTCAGGGTTTTTTTCATTCTTGGCATTGCATATGTTAACCATTTTATATGTGAGAATTAATGATGCAGAGACATATGAATGGAAGAAGTTTCCATGCCACCCAACATCAATACATCCATATACCACAAATTTAGACATATCAGGTGAAAATTATAAATAGAAAGCTTTATTTGCCAGATGTGCCTTTGGTTTCCTATGCTGCCAAGATAGAAAAAAAGTTTGATTTATATGCTACACAGGACAATTATTGCCATGCTGGTCTTAGTTTTTTATTTTATTGTTTTAAGCTCCTATGAAAATAGCTTTTGAGTTGTATGCACTTGATAGACATCATATAAAAATATATGAAAGGCTATCATATGAACTGCTAAGGGAAAATGGGAGGAGATATATACGAATCAAAATGTATTTAGATTATTTTTAAATCTCTCTCATTTTGTATTCATGCATTTTTTTTAACTTTACAGTGATCTAAGCCATAATAGTTTGTCTTCAATCAACTCTAGTTCTTTGAGTCATCTTTATAATCTGCGAGAAATGTAAGTAGTTGTTCTGCCTCCAGATTCTTATGGCTATCTGTGTTATAAGATGTCTTCTTTTCCATTGCTTTATTTTAAATTTCTAAAATCATAATGACATGTGCATATAAAACCTAGAATGTTTTGATTTGCATTCAGTGATAAGTTGTGATTCCAAAGAAAGCTGATATATAAAACAGTTGGCTTTCGCTTTGCATTTCTTGATTTCTTTGTAATGTTTTCTGCCTAATCATGATCATATATTTACCTATTTAGACACATGGCACATTGCTGTATTTCAATAGCCTACACTCCTTGCCCATACTCCTAAGTGAAAGCTCCTCTTGTTTGATAGCTGAGCTCTCAGCAAATGGAAAGCATGGGTAGTAACAGTTACAGTATATGGCAAGCCACAGAAGGTATTATACAACCACAAGCAATCAACTAGCCATGGATTTTCTATCTATATGCAGAAACCAACTACTAAGAGTAAAAAAGAAACAGTAAAGCAGTTTCCATGTGTGTGTAGTTTCCCTAGCACTGAGGAGTAAATGAACCACATGTACCACATAAAGGATAATCTCCAAAAGAATTATCTGGTTTATTATTCCATATATAAATGATGAGTGCAAATGTTCAAAGAACTTACAACAATTCAGTAGGCATTTGTAGAAGTCAGCATCATTAAAAGACTTTTTGTTTCTTTGGGAATTTGTGCCATTATGAGGGTGGGAGGTGAAAACTGCTAAGTTGTTAGAGATAAAATAGGAAGGGAAAATCAGAAGATACCAGTTACCATTTATGTCTATCTTGGCTAAGCTTTCATTATTTTTTTTAAAACAGAAAACTGAACAACAATGAATTGGAAGCTATTCCAAATCTGGGACCTATTTCAGTAAACATTACTTTCCTTTCTCTGTAAGTTGATTTCATATATTTTATTTGTATATGAAAAGAAATATATAGACATATTCTCTATTCAAATATTAATCATATGTTTTCAAAAAAGCTAATATTTGAAATGATAGCATTAAAATTTGTTTAATATAATATAACTCTAACCTTTGGATCATCTTGACTGTCATGATATATTTCTTCTTCTAGGATAGAAGCACATATTGTAGAAATTGTACTTATTAGAGAATATTACATCTCAAATTCTGAGAATCTTATGGTTTATTCTTCCCCTGAATTCTGTACAAACAACTTACAGATTCAATTTATTGTATCTCCAGCTATAACCAGGAAAGGTTTTTTTTGGGGGGGGGGGAAATCCTGTAGAACCACTTTCAGTCATAGTAGAAAGTATCTAACTATAAGCTGCCATTGTTCTTAACTGCTTATTGCCCTTAGTTGAATGGGTTCTTGGGAAAACTGATTAGCTCAAGTCAAAGATAGTATGGAGAAAAACTTTTTTTAGAAAAACTAAAATGCCACCAGTTAAGGCTGGAAGGACTGTAATCTTAAATCCTAGAGGTTTTCTTTGCTGTTTTAAGGTTTTGACAGAATGGTAGACTGATACATGTAACTTTGTCTTGATCCCTAAGCCTCATAAAGTGATACATACATTGATGTTTGTATAGATCAGGGTGAAATGTAGACATGATCTCAGATCACCTAGCCTTGGGAAAGACTGTTTTTTTTTTTTTAAGTTTTATTAACATAAACAAACATAAAACACAAATACATGTAAACACTTATACATTAACAAAGAGTCAATCGACTAACTTCTAGAAAACCTTCGCATCGGTGATTAATGTCCATTTAACCAATTTTCCTTAATCATACTATTTACAAATTCACTTGCTTATACCTTGATATATTCATTGAAGTTCAGCAGTATCTTTCTACAAACATATTAACCATTTATTTATACAATCCTACGGCTCATCTCATGTATCTATTTCTACAATTCTTGAGTTATGTTCTCCTAATGTCCTATGTTGTTGGCCCTATCCTTCTTTCTAACCATGTGTACCATTTTTGCCAAACTAAATAAAAGTCAGTGTTCTCTTTATCTTGGAGCTCTTTTGTGAGCTTATCCATCTCTGCGCATTCATTTATTTTTGTTATTATTTTTTCTTCTGTTGGTATTATCTCGGATTTCCAATTCTGAGCGTACACTATACGTGCCGCTGTCAATATGTGGATGGTAAGATATTTTATCTCCTTGGTACACTGTGGTGTAGTCATTCCAAATAGAAAGAATTCTGGTTTCATTTCTACACTTTGCCTCGTTGTTTCTTCGATTATTCTCTTAATCTCTTGCCAGTAGCGTTGTGCCTTCCTGCAAGACCACCAGAGATGGTAATATGTCCCCATTTGTGTCTTGCACTTCCAACACATTGGTGATGTGTTTGGAAACATTTTAGCCAAACGTGCCGGAGGAAGGTGCCATCTATAAAATATCTTGTATAAATTTTCTTTGTATGGAATTGACAGTGTCATCTTATAATTTTCTGCCCATAGCTTGTCCCATCTATCCAACTCTATATTGTGACCTATATTTCTTGCCCAGCTTACCATGTTTTCTTTCACTGTTTCCTCCTCTAATTTATACCTTATTAAATATCCATAAATTTTAGATATTATTTTCTCATCTGTGCCTTTTAAAATTTTATCTAGTTCACTTGGTTGGCTTTGAAAATCATAATGTCTCCGGTCTGCTGTATATTTTGACTCAATTTGAAGATATGGCCACCAATCAATCATAATGCCTCGTCTTTCCAGTTCTTGTCTCGTAAGTAGGTCTCCCTCACTACTCAACAATTCTTGATATTTCCGCATCTTTCCTATTTCTATAGTGTTTGGATAAATTAGCGCCTCCATAGGCGACAACCATCGTGGGATTTTACTATAGTGTTGCCTTCTGATATCTTGCCATGTTTTATATAGTGCACCTCTTATTACATGTCTCTGGAAGTACGGATGTCGCTTGTCTGTGCCTTCCCACAGAAAGGCATGCCAACCTCGACTCAGATCAAATCCCTCCAAGTATAGCGTTCTCCTATTTGATAGATCTATCCATTCTCTGATCCAATTCAACGCCGCCGCCTTGTAATATAGCTCCCAGTCTGGTAGACCTAGGCCTCCCTTCTCCTTTGTGTCCTGTAAGCATCTTATTTTAATTCTAGCTTTCTTTCCTTGCCAGATGTATTTCATTATTGTCTTGTTGAGATCCTTAAAGAAATCTTTTCCCGGACCAATTGGTATCACTTGGAAGAGATATAGGAGTCTTGGTAATATGTTCATCTTTACAGACGCTATTCTGCCAAGAAATGATAGTTGTACCTTATTCCATCTTTCCAGGTCTTTTCTAATTTGCTTCATCAATTTAATGTAATTGTCCTCTCTAATAGTTGTTGCTTTTGTAGTAAGCCAAATTCCCAAATATTTTACTTTCTTCGCAATTTGCATTCCTAATTCTTCTTCTAATTTTTCCTCTTGTGTCATTGTCATATTTTTGGTCAAGACTTTGGTTTTTTGTTTATTGATCTTAAACCCCGCCACTTTGCCATACTCCTCTATCTTCTCTAATAATTTGACTCCCGCTACTTCCGGTTGTTCCACTATGAAGACCACATCATCCACAAAAGCCTGTAGTTTATACTCCTCATTCCTTATCTTCAGTCCTTTTATTTCTTCTTCCTTTCTTACTTCCTTTAGAAGGACTTCCAGTGAGATTATAAACAGTAGAGGCGATATCGGGCATCCTTGTCTTACCCCCTTTTGGATGCTTATTTTTTCGGTCATATCTCCATTAATTATAATTCTCGCTGTCTGGGAAGAATATATTTTCTTAATCATTTTCAGGAATTTGTCGCCGAAATTCATAATCTGCAGTTGTGCTATAAGGAATTTCCAGTTCAAATTGTCGAACGCCTTTTGCGCGTCGAGAAAGATTAGCGCTATCTGATTATTGATGTTTTGCTCGTAGTATTCAAGAACGTTTATTATTGTCCTCATGTTGTTTTTTATTTGTCTCCTTGGGACAAAACCATTTTGGTCGGGGTGTATATAATTATGTATAATCGTTTTCAGCCTCTGTGCTATAATTGTCGTGAATAGTTTATAATCTACATTTAACAGCGAGATGGGTCTATAATTTTGGACTTTAGTCGGATCCGTATCTTCTTTGGGGATGAGTGAGATAATTGTTTCGGCCCAAGATTTAGGTGTTTCTGCTTCCAGCAGTGCCTCATTGAGAACTTGTAGTAGTAGTTCATCTATTGCAGACTGGCAGTTTTTATAAAATTCCGTTGGAATTCCATCCGGACCTGGGACTTTGTTGTTCTTCTGTTTCTTTCGGGCTTCCATCAACTCCATCATTGTTATTGGTTTATTCAGTATTTCTCTGTGGGATTCTTCTAATTTCTGGATATTTGCTTTTTGTAGGTATTCCATAATATCTTGGTCTTGAGTTTCTTCTTGTGTGTAGAGGTTTTGATAGAATTCCCTTACTATACGTTTTTTATCTAAATTCATACTATATAGTTGTCCTGTTTCATCCTGCAATTGGTATATTATTCTTTTTTCCCTCTCTTTCTTCAGTCTGTATGCCAGCCAGCGACCTGTTTTGTTTGCATATTCAAAGTATTTCTGCTTGACCATTTTCATTTTCTGTGCGATTTCTGCTTGTGAAATTAAGTTCAACTCATGTTTAGTACGATTCAATTTTTCCCTTGTTGTTTTGTCGTCAGGCTGTTTCTGTAATTGTGACTCATATATGTTGAGTTCTTCCATTAATTTTTTCCTCTTTTGTTGTTTATCTTTATTTTTTTTTGCTGTGTATGCTATTGTGAGGCCTCTTATATAGGCCTTAGTAGTGTCCCACAGATTCTGTACTGAAGTCTGCTCCTTTGTGTTTATTTGATAAAATATTCTAAGTTCGTTCTCCATCATCTGCACATAATCTCTATCTTTTATTATTCCGGTGTCCATCATCCACCTCTTCTGCTTTCGCTGTCCTCTCCATGTTATTTTTATAGGATTATGGTCGGCCCATGTATTCGGTATAATTTCGATGTCTTGTAGATCCTTCCTGAGGTCTGGCGTCATCCAGGCCATGTCAATCCGAGACCATGACTGGTGTGGGTTTGAGTAGAAGGTATATTGGTTTGTTTGTTGGCCTCTCTCCATCCATCATGTAATTGCAATTCTTCAGTCATATCCTTAAATGTATCCGGTAAGATTCTTTTTCGAGTCTTACTTTGTTTATTACTTCGATAGTCATCTTGTATATTCACGATTGCGTTGAAGTCTCCGACAACACAGATATTTTCGTACTCCAAATCTTTAATTGTATCATGTAGTTTCTTGTAAAATTCTCTCTGGTTTCCATTAGGTGCATAGATAGAAGCTAGCAATATTTTCCTTGTTTCTGTTTGTAGTTCAGTTATTAAAATACGTCCTTCCGAATCTGTATATATCTGTTTAGCTTTTAAATGGTTTTTGACATAAATTGCCACTCCTCTCTTCTTATTATCTCCTAGGGATGTGAATAATTTTCCTAATTTTTGATTCTCCAACAATATTTGTTGCTGTCTTTTAATGTGTACTTCTTGTAAAGTTATCACATCTAAGTCCAATTTTTGCAATTTCGTAAATATATATTTCCTTTTCCTTGGGGAGTTGAGTCCCTTTATATTAATTGATATAATTTTTATTTCTCCTTCCATCTCTATCGAGTTTATCTATTTGTGATTTTCAACTTTGTTGTGTTTCTGATAACTCTTTGAGTCTTTTCCCTCGCTCCCTCTCTCTCCATTCTTTCTCTCTCCAATCTTTTTGCCTCTTCCTGATCTTTTTCTTCCTTCTCCATCCGCCATGTCCCGGGTTCCGCTTCTCTCCTTGTCTCCTGTTCCTCTTCCATTGTAAAGTGCTGGTCAAAGAATTCTTGAGCCTTTTCCAGATTATCA